GGTGCCATCATCATCCTGACAAGTCCTCTTCCCCCCCACCTCAGTTCCGCCGAGTCATCGTCCACGATCGATCTTCCTCCTCCACCTCCACGTACACACAATTGCAAACGATCGGAAAGACCGACGGATCCCTCTGGCAGCCGATGACAAAACACTGGTTCACTAGGAACGACCGGTTCGCCGGTCGAAAATTAAAGGCGAGAAGCGGGGCCAACGAACGAGCCTAAGAAGAGTAACCACCGGGAGAGCAGCTGCCGATTCTCTTCAGTTTAGACCGTCTGTCGTTTTATTGGCCAAGGCGACGTGTCACTTTAGCGTGGAACAAGGCGCCAGACCCGGCCCCTTTCCACTCTCTGCGCAGACCTTATCACTCTCTCGCCTCTTGTCTTGTCTCGCGGCGCACGCGAGCCTGACCTTATCGTCCAAACAGTTTCTCGATATATACTCTGTGTCCAACTCGATCGATCCACCCCGGCTCCTACGCTCTCCACCCTTCACCTTGCTTCCTCTGTCACTTTTCATTCGAACCACCCACCCATCGTCGATCTTCCCCGATAAAGCTCTTCTCGCACGATCTTCGTACGGTGTCGCCTCACCTGTTGACGCGAGAAGAGAGAGTCACTGGCTTACCGAAGAAAAGCTCCTAACACGTTCCACGACAATGGCCGGCCGTGATACAGGCCTGCAATTATTGCAAGTCAGATAACGTGTTATCGAGCGACGACGAGCGGTTAACGAGCGGGTCACACACTCGAGTGTCGTCGAGCGGTGGCTCTCTTCTTCTTTTTCCCCTCTTCTTCTAGTAGTCGGTAGAGATCTCTTCGCCGTGTTTTTAAATACACTTCTTCTCGCGACGATTTACACGGCAACTGTTTTGCACAAACACACGTATCAGCCGACGATTGTTTGAAACAGGAATTCTGAACTGAGAGTGATGTACGACGAAGGAAACACAAGGATTGGCTAGTTTTACGAGGACGTTCGTTCAGGTTAAGTTCAGAGAGAGCCCCCCCAACCCCCCGACAGTTGACAAGGCTGGTCGCGAGCCAGGAGGCAGTTTAATCGACGGTGTCTTCGAAGGAGAACACGAAGGACAGGTCTGTACGATGTTGCAAACGATCATCGCCGATCCAGCATGGCGCGCGCACGACCAACGACTAAACAGACGCGGAGAGTGCATCGTGCTTGCTGCCTCGTTTTCCCCTTCCAATCTACCAACCACGCTCGTTTCTCTTTTTCTCCCCCTTCGGCAACCCTCGGAGCTTCTTCGTCTCTGTTTACACGCAGCCCCCTCGATCGCAACCGCACCACGGAAGCGCGCTAATTTTCAATTTTTTCTACTTTTTTCTTCTTTTTACACAAGAGATTGGAGATTTCTTACGTAAGGATAGAGGTGGAATGTTATCGGTGTGATAATGATATCGTTGATAATCGATCAATTAGGTGTGCGTACGACGTTCGTTGTTTCTACGTAGTAGAATTTTTATTGACTACTTGTTGTTTATAGAGTACGTCATTCTCTATCGCTAGTTTTCTTAATACTTCGAGTGCCACGGTCGTTATCGGTGATTGGAGTGTCTCCGATGTTTGGAATGGATAAAAGTTTCGAACATCGTCGGTGACTAGACGTTACTGTCAATTAAAAAAAGATAATAAAGCGTGGTAAGCGTAATATTAGTGTTAACTCATTTGCTCCATTTGAAAAAAAAAAAAAAATGAAAAATAGGCCCTTAACAGGACTTTTTATTTTATTAGATTTAATTGCACATATGAATAAAACTTAATATTTCATTGATATGAACCAATCTAGAATTGCTTTGTCTTCAAGATAGAACAATCTCGTTGTTTTGTGTAATTTGATAGGATTTGGCAGTTATCGCACTGATAAATTGTTTCTCTCCTCTTTTCTTTGCGACGAACGAACTGTACAACGCTTCTGAGATCTCCTCGACGAAGTTGTTCCCATGGAAAATGTCGACCAGTAAATTTTCATATTGTGCAACTTTTCGTTTCTTTTCCTGGTATCTTCGAATGCGCTTCTGCGCGCATATATACGCTAACAGTGCAAATTCCGCGAGATTTCAGACAATGGCACGTTCCACTTAGTTTCGCGATCTTTAAAATTTTCAATTAGGGCGAGTTCCCCCAGCGTAGAAAACTTATTTTTATTCCTTTCGTCTCCTCGAGGAGATACGCAGAGTAACGGCTCCGTAGCGTTTCAATTGTTGCAGATAGAACTAACGTCCGATGTTAGGTGCCGTCCGGCGTTAAGGCAACTCCGCCTACTTGGAAATGTAAATGATTTTTAGTCTGGTAAAGATATTCCAATATCCCTAAACGTGACTTAACCACGAATTAAGTGGTTACGAACCACAAGTAGACCATAATTCACCCCTTCCGTGACCCTATGTTTAATCTGCCGCTGTTTCCGCTCAATTAAACGCGGATCCTTTTCTATTTCTCCCGATCGACCGGCATTCGTACCTGTAACTCTGCTCGGTTTCGCAATGTGAAATAAATAGACATAACCGTCGAGAGCGGATTCTGTCTGGATCATGTTGGCTGTAGGAAATTCTCGGACGTCAAGTGAATGGACCCGCGGAAACGGCTATCGGGATATAGAGTGACGTCAAAACGTCTCAAGACCACACCGTCTGCGAGCAGAAACGTGAAAAACGAAAAATACGGTGACACACTTTCACTCTTGTACTACCGAGCGAGCAACCTGCGAACGGGAGCCATTGAAATTCCCTCTAATTACGTATAAAACGACACGGAGCACCGGATGTTGATTGGATAGAGAAAAAACCGCGGGCTATGAGTCACCCTCCACCTCCGTTAGCTTTTCTTCGCGATACTTTCAACGGAACAGAGACAAGAGGTATGATTAAGGAAATGATCGATTTATTTCGCGCACAGTTTTCCGGGGAATGTGGAAAAACCATTGGATTAATATCTTTTGAAGGTAACCTAGTATTTTCGATCGAATAGAAGCAACGATATATCCTCTCGATCTTTCCTCTTCCTCTTTTTTCTCGAGAAACGTTAAAGTCACAGTGGGGAAACTTAACGTCCCAGTTCACCCTACGGAGACACCCATTGGGACGAATTCCTCAGGTATTCCCTTTACTATTATCTTCCTCTGCGAAATACCATAAACTCTGTAAACTGTCACATGGCCGTCCGTGGAGCGAAATTGTGGCGACGACATATTAGCAGCATCCGTATTGTCACCGGAGTAGAATGGATCAGAGGGTTGCCATAATATGGGGCAGGTGGAAAAATAGGGTGAATCGTGAGATCAGAAATGACATGCAGATTCTTCTTTCACTTTTCTTCGTGTTTACTCTTCGTGCGCCTAAAATTCCGAAATTTATATTCTCGTGACAAAAAAGGGATCTCTTTCACGAACAGAGAGATAAATGTGACACACGTTGGAGAGATGGAGAAATCGTGAAAAATGGAAATGCCGGTTGCATTGTTCGAATGTGCAAATACTTCTCGTATCGTTTTTAACATCGTCGATCGAGGGCGCAACCGAGCACGCTATTGGTAATTGGACAATGCACCGATCCATATCGAGGCTGCCATTGTATCGACAATGGCGCTACGCGATTGAGAGCTCTCGAATGTCGCCTGCGATTCGATATCAGTATTCCAGTCGCGTGTTCACGGCCCCACAAAGAGAGGCTCGAGCCATCGAAGTCGGCCAGCCTCGAGTAATCACGTTTTAAAAATAAAGCAACGGAAAATAATGAAAGAGAGAAAAAAATAATGGTATTTTTATCTTCCGACGAACGGAAAAACGCGACTGCCTTGATGAAACGAGCCGGGGCTCCCCGATGCGAGGGAGAAAAGAGAAAATAACAGAAAAAAAAAAAAAGATCCCTTCAACCTGTGGAATTATTTCACGGAGAATCGAACGAGAGAATGACATTTTTTTATCATTCCCTAGAATTAACCCTTTACCTCCTCCACAGCGAAATCTTGTCTCCCGTGGATTCTTTATTCCTGAAATGATTACTAATAGATTCCCACTCGGGCCTCTGCTAAGCTCACCTTGAGCTTAGCCTAACCCTGTCTCGATCGATTCCACACACCGGTCCCGTGCCCCGTCTAAAATGCCCGGCAACTTGCTGAAACGTGCGGTTTCGCAAGAAACCAGCTGAAAAAAAGCTGGTACGAGACGGATCCTGAGTCACGATGCAGATGCAGATTAACGCAAACGCGTGCATGCCCGGTTGCCACACAATCCGCTTAATTAGCCGCGAGTGTAAAACGTCTGCGGCGAGTGGTACACTCGAAACTGGTTGCTCTGCACAACCCGACAACGTTTCACCAACGACACGAAAATCTGTAGAGAAGAGAGCGGTGGCGAAGAAAAATGGGTGAAAATCCGTTCGATTGACAGAGTGGGCGGTGTTTTTTTTCGATTTCACGGAAAAGGTCATGGAAAACGTGAGGTCTCGTGATGCTTATCGGCTGGTTGGGAACGTTGAACGTGTGCGGGTCGATAAGAGGCGAGTGTAAAACGTGCGGTTTTGCACCCGCGAGCCAAGTGTCGGGCTCGCTTTTACTTTCACCTTTGAGGAAACGTGTGCCGCTCTCGCGTTGCCACAGCCTGCATTTATGGATCAATTATAACGCGTCGATTAATTATTTCGAAACACCGATTCAGCCAGTTCCGTCGACGTTGTGATCTATTCCTACGCTACTTGCGAAACACCTTCTGTGTCCCTTAAATTACTACGTCAACTTTCCGACCATCACACTTGTCACTTTAAACACCACTTTTTCGCACATTTTCGGGTATCGAAGACACCTTTATTTTACATTCTCTCCTTTTATCAGTTTCCATTTTTTCGATGACCGAAGACACCTTTGTTTCGCATTCTTTTCCTTATCACCGATATTTACGAAACGTGGATATTTCCGTATCTATCGATTGATCAATTCCGCGACACGCGAGAGAGAATTTGCACAAACAGAAAGTGGAATTCATAAACGTCCCATCAGCGGGATACCTACATCCCGACGAATCGGCCAAATTTAGACGTCCGCTTACGCGTCGTCTGCGCACTCGTTAAGTCGCTCTCGCGACTTTTCTCTCCTTTACAGATCCTCGTGCAATCGATCCTAGCCGAAATATTCGAAAATCGCCGACGATTCGTGGAATGTTAAACGGCGATCGTTTAAAGGCCATCGATTAGAGTGCATTCCTTTCGAAACTTTCAGACCGAGGTCAGATAGGATTGACTGGGTCGAGGAATCTCATCGGTTATCAGGAGGACTTTGTAACATCCTGTGACAAGGCGGAGACGGGAAAGTTTTCAACGATAACTCGCCTAGGGAAAAGACCTCTCTACCTGCTAATGCATTTTTACTCACGCGTTGACTCATCGTACAATTGCAAAAGCTTGCTTCCGAGGATATTAGTCGATTTAACGTCCCTGCCTCTCTGTTGCTGCCGAATAACAGGGAGATAAAGGGGAGAAGAAAATTCTACAGACCCAGAATGCTACATTTTTCGTATTGTTCTGAAACCCGCGTGGCTCTGCGAGATTATTATCGTGGGATGCACTCGACGTAGCGATTGCACCGCTCGTTATTGTTGATGCTTTCGCTAGTTGCAGCCGTAATTCGCGGATTACGAAAAGGGGATCGGTACGACTCCGAGCGTTAACAATGCCAATAATATTACGCACAATTTCGGAGATAACCGGAGGATGAAATTAGAGGAATTTGGAATCGGTCTAACATGCACCGATTCTTTTCTGAACTTCTTTGAACGGTTAAAAAAAATAACGACAAATTTGTCCTAATTTGCTTGTCCAATTTTCTAGATACGTTGCCAATTTGTTCCTTTGTTCGGAGAAATGTGCAAAAATTCTCGAGCAATATTCTCAGCTGTGCAATGTATAATACGCTAACGATGCAAATGGGTTAATAAGGATTCAATTCCGTGGGATTTCAGACAATGGAATGTTCCACTTGGTTTCGCCATTTTTACAATTTTCAATTACTTTGGTGATGATTTTTAAGAGTCACTCTAACATGCACCGATTCTTCTCTAGGTTCACGGGACGCGTTATTCTCGCGCATTTTATATACACTACCGGCCAAAAGTTTCGAATCACCTCGCACTTTTCATCGATATTAAACCTGCTGCTAATTTTTCATAGATTTGAAGCTTATCTCAATTCTGCATTTATCTCGTATCAGTTGATTCGAACGATAAAATGCAGTGCTCGGTGATTCCAAACTTTTGGCCGGTAGTGTAAATATACAGTATCACATAGTTCCATTTACAAGTTAATAGCGTGTAATATCTCGTCTTTAAATAAAATAAGTTGACTTTTGAAGAAAATTCGCGTTTCCGTTTACTCGTCAATTTGCCACCTATCCTTAGAGATAGGTGTGCAAGAAACGTCCCTAAACCCGGTGTTAAACTCCGAACAGTTTAAAAGAGAAAAGGCAAATTGTCCGTCCTGTAAATTTCACAATTTTCCAAATGTGCAAAAATTTTCGAGCAATATTCTCAGCCGCGTATAACACCAAAGCAAAGTCTCGTTTGCTATCGCGGAGGACAGCGGTGAAATGCATAGTCACCGATGCAAACTGAGCCGCAGAGCACCAGTGAACTCTGACACAAGCGGTGCGTGACTAACTCGGCGCTATTAATCAGCGAGCCACAAATCTTTATTTAACTTATGCGGAAAAGATTGAAGAGAAGCGCAAGGTGTTGATGCAATTTCCCCTCGGCGGATGATGAACCCACGCCCGTGAGACGCGACGACACTCGAAAACGACTGGACGATGATTCATTCGCGTTGACTAATTGACATGCGCGATCGATGGAACGCCGAGACAATGTTATTTCCTCGACTCTATTTCAATATCTCAACTTCGTACCAATTCTAGGTTTTTTATCCAAATTATTTTAAGTCGAGATTCCTTGTATTTTTAATTAATTAGAATTATTTTGGGGGACTTTAAGAGTGGTTTAAAAGTGGCACAGTTATCAGAAGGTGTTTTTGCCACGCGACAGATGGCTGGATGACCTGTTTCTAGTATTATTTTTGCTTTATCGACAGAAGGTAAGTTATCCACCGAGCATGGAATGTGAAATGGTAGTTTTGTCGCGTTTCGTCGAGGGCGACACGAAAAGTACGAACGATTATGCGGGTTCTTTTAATTGCGCTAATTAATCGAAACATTTTTATCCAAGTATGCTTCGATAGTGTATTCTTTACCATTGTCGGTAAAACACCTTCACCAAATCAAGCAGTTAAAATTTAAATTAAATAAAAAAAAAATTCAATTGGCTTCGTTGCGTACAATTACCATTGTTCGCCAAAGTCGCCTCCTAACGTACCGCAATTCCACCGACAAGCTAGACGTTTAAGGCGTCTCTGAATTACACCTATGAGTTTCCTTT